ACCCAAAAAAAACCCCATTAAAAAAAACCCCAAACAAACAAACAAAAAAAGAACAACAACAAACCAAACCAAACAAGCTAACAAATACCCAAGCAAATGTCTGTTACTGGAGACAAAACATCATATTGTGTTCGTGTACTTCTGTGTATTCAGTCTTGAGACGTGCTTGTCAACCTCTTTGTACCCAGCACCACTTTTGTCACTGTCTTTAAGAGAGAGGTTAAAGTGTTCATACTTCCCTCATATCCTGTACATTACATGTACATGTATTGTCAAGCGGGGCATAAAACAATCTGTCTCTGCCCTGATTTTCAAAATCACAAAATTGTCCACCAGTTGATTGGTGATATCGCCCAGGTTGAAAATAAGACTTGGTTTGAAGAATTGTAAATCGGGGTGGGGTGGGTGGTTGCGGTGGCCGCGTATTGTGTGAGTTCAGACTCACAAATAATTTTGTCAAGTAAGTTTCGATGGCACGGGGCGTATAGGTGGGTGGTCAGTTGGTGTGCTCATGAGCAAGGCACGATATATCACGCTCTGAAAATAAGGCGCTGCACAATGACGACCGGCAATGGTGTGTTTGTTATTTCTGTATTCCAGTATTGATGTATCTTCCTTTATACCTTGTATGTATGTATTTATGTACCTTATTTATGTGTTTATGTGCTGTATTTATTATGTAAGCATATACATGTTACACCAATGTAAACCAAATTTGTGGGTGGTTGGCGGGTGTTCTGGTGTGGTTTGCTTCTTCTTTCCTATCAAACATCTATCGTCCTTATCTCCCCTTCTTCTTTTGTATGTTTGTTACTCTCTTGTAACACCTCTAATCTTCTGGCGCTCTTATAACCTTATGCAGATGCGAGCGCCGTAAACTAAAACGAAAACCAAATTTCAACTCGGGGATCAGTGATAATGGAATTCATTGATTTATATTTTAAAAGAATTTTCTCCTTTTTTTCTTTGACAGGTTCAGCCACCAGGAGATCATGATGGTGGACTAGCAGTGACGCAGTGGGCGACTCCTCCTTCTATTTGCCCTCTTACTTTTACAGTTGCTTTATTGTTATACGTCACTGTGGAATACGATTTGAAGACAGAAAACAGGTGTGTGTGAAGCCGTGTCCGATATAGGTTTGTTTCTTGCCAGCAAGCGGTCGTGGCTAGCGCTGCTTTGCTGAGGTCTGGTCTGTCTACATCTGTTCTCACTACTGTCTGTGTGTGAGAGAGGATGGATCCAGATGCTTCTGGCGGGAGACGGGGGAATTCTCCGGCCCCTAAACACAGCAGCCTCAACAGCGGCAGCAGCAGCAACAGCAACAACAGCAGCATGAATTCCGCCGCCAACACCATCACCACCAACAACGCCGTTGCTTCGTCCGCCGTGTCAGGGTCGTCCAGTAACTCTCCCATCACCACCACCACCACCAGCAACAACAGCACCACCAACGGTGGCACCATCAGCATCCACAACCACAACATCAACCACCACAACAACAACAATAACAACGACGACGACAACGGCAACGCCTCCTCCGACATGAACGAGGTGGACTTCGACAAAGCGGACACGCCCACCAACGCGCACCACCGCACCCACAACAACAGCGCCAGCCGCGGCGACCCGGAGCAGAGCGCGGGCAGCTACAGCCCCAAGTCGGAGAAGTCCGGGAAGTCGTCGGCCAAGAAGAAGGCCACCAGCAAGTCCAGCCTCAAGATGGCGGTGGACAAGAAGAAGCTGGAGAAGTTTGTGGGCGAGGGGGAACAACTCCTGCCCGTGCCGCGCGCTCGCCGCCGCCTCAAGGGCAGCGATCTCGGGTACATGGTGAAGAGGGGGGAGTCGGTGGTGCGCTACATCGACAAGGACGGGATTGTGTATAACCCTAACGGTGAGTCAGTCGCCTGTTTGGGGGGTTGTTGTTGTTGTTGTTGTTGTTGTTGTTGTTGTTGTTGTTGTTGTTGTTGT